ATTTCTATAAAACGGATCCATTTTGTATGGTCCTGTAGATATGTCGAGCGCAGTGCACTCCATGCAGTCCTGTAAAGTCCTGCAAAGCCTCAAAGTCATACCCATTTCACTCATTTCTTATGACTTTTTCACTTCACTTCTTTCACTCACTCATTTTTTTTTTTTTTGGGGGGCATTTAGTACTAGATTGCAAAGGATAAGGGCCGGCGAAGAAGGTTTCTCTTCGAGAGGAAAAGGGAAGAGAGCTCAGGGAGGACAAACCACCTTCTTCCCGCAAAAAAGGATTTTCGCATTTTGGAAGAAGTGGCACAGTAATCTCGAAGCTCTTAGGCTGCTCTCACACTCTGCAGCAACTCCACCAGCGACGGTAGCATCCACCAGCGTTCCAAGCGTCCAGCAGTGGCTAGGAAAGTGTATATATTATCATCCTACCATTTGACAGCGTCTGCCAGAGTCCACCAGCGACCAGCACCATGGGACGATAGCAGGACAGCAGACTGCTGGTAGAGAGTGCGGCGCGATGGGAGGGTAGAAGCTGGTACCCACCTATCCCCCATACTCTCTTCTCTCGGATGCTGCTGGTCGCTGTAGACGCTGGCAGGCGATAACAGACGCTAGATCGATACCTATACTTCCCTAGCCCTCGAGACGCTGCTGGTCGCTGGTATACGCTGGCAGGCGCTCGCAGACGCTGATAGACGCTGGTAGGCGCTGGAAGAACTGATCGATATCTATACTTTTCTTGTCGTTGGCGCCGCCGCACGCTCGGAATGCTGATTGACGCTATTTGTCGCTGGTTTGCGCTGCCGCAAAGTATGAACACAGCCTTACAGTACTTTGTAAAATAGCTCGGTATATAGGATTAGCGAGCCTTGCATTAATTCTTTTGAATCTCCTCTCGCATCAGTGCCAAGGAGTGGTGAGCTCATAATAGCTGGATACGATCGATGCTACACACCGTGCAGGTGCCAAGATGGTTAACAAGCCAGCGCATCAACCCGCCATGAACTCCGCTGAAACTTTATCACAACCAATTTCAGAACAGCCTGTATTTAAGGTGATCGTGACGAGTGGGGTAGCCAGTTATTTCTTGGATCTCCTAGGGAGAGCTGTGCCGTATGAGTGGAGGCTGACTTGGTGACTTAGGCTTATGAAGAATGACATTTGCCATTATCATTTTCAGACCGCGTGAAGAAGTGACAGAATAAAGAAAAGAAAAGACAGAAGAAATACAATTTTTCGAGTTACTTTTGAACCTTTTGAATTTTTGAAAGCCTTTCAAAGCATTCCATGTTATGTTACAGCGGACTCGTGTTAAACTCTTAAATATGCCGACTATTGCAGGTAATCATAAAACCAAACGCATTCAAACGCCACAGGATTGTGACTGGAAGTTGAATGCGTGTCGCATCGCAAAGAGGGATAAGTCAAGGTGAAGCATCTATTCTTCTTCCCTTTCCAAATGACCAATTACCCCAATACAAAGCGAGCATTTATTGTAATATTCAGCATGATGGACCCACCTACCAGTGCTACCCAGTGTCGTGCTAAACACTGATCGATAGTGACCCGTTCAGATATGATATTGACGAACTATCTCCATTCATTTCACTGCACCTTTGGTGACCGTCCTTCGCTCTTCCATTCTCGTTTAGCCTCTTTCGTGCTCTATGTAAGTCTTTTTGCTTTCGCTCATCCCAAGGTTTTCGGAAATGTTTACTGTTTTACAATTTCGTACTACTATTCCAAACTAACTACTATTCCAAACTGGTTGTGCGTTGATACCGTTTACTAATATCGTTAGTCCATGCAGAAGTACGTTGAACTTCTTACAAGATCCACAGTATAGGCTTTTTCACACGATAGATGTTAACCTCAGAGATCCTTTTTTAACTAGAACAATTTCGAAATCAAGGAACCTGAACTCTTGAAACTGTTTTATTTCCCCGCATGAATGAGTCAGCGCTCTTGTTGCATGGACGCACTCGCGTCTTTTTATGTTTTCTCTGTTTTTCGTTGTAAATACGATATTGAAATGAATTCGATTAATTCTCATCTCATCATCACCTTCTGAAGAAAAGTCTTTGTTCTGACTGGTTATGAAAACGCAATTAAATAAATTCTTAAAACAAAGTACTAGGTAAAATGAGACCTTCAGAAGCCTTTGAGGAGGAGCAACACTAGCACTTGTGCGGTACTTGCAACTTGGTACACTCAACAGAGCAGGATTACCTCAGCGACTAAGAAAGTGTAGATATCGATCTAGCTAGAGCAGGGCACAGCGTTCGATGGGGATTCCCTATGGGGGGGGGTCGTATTTGGCCGCCAAAAGGGGGGGTCGTATTTGGGCTGGGAAAAATTTATTTTTATAGTTGATTTTTCTCGCTTCACGGACGTTGTAAAGGGGGGGTGAGGGGTCGTATTTGGTCATTGTTGGGAGGGGGGGGGTCGTATTTCTGGCTAGGAGTTACGTGGTTCACTTCATGAGTTTTATGAATTTTCTGTGTTATAGGTACTATGTACGCCCGTACGATGTACGTCGCATGCCTACTACCCCACCCCCTCGACAACTTTTTCGCCGAGTATAAACCACAACCACAGTCAGCCATCGTACGAGCATGGGGGGGGGTCGTACCAGCCCCTGAAAAAAGGGGGGGGGTCGTAAAAGCTCGACCAAAATCCCCATCGAATGCTGTGCCCTGAGCTAGAGTCTTTCAGCGTACAGCTGCGTCTCAAAGGCTAGGCAAGTGCAGGTATCGATCTAGGCGTCCGCTAGTGTTCACAGCGACCGGGATTAGAGAGCATGGGAAAGCAGAAATGTAGCGAACAGCTGGATTAGGCGTCGTGAAATTGCGACGTGTGCAACCGCACCGCACAACCGCTAAAGTACAGGATTACGCAATTCAGTGTACGGTGTAGTGTAGTGGTGCGATGCAGTTGCACACATCGCTACTTCCCCATACTGTCTATTCCCGGTCGGTGGTGGACGCTTGTAGACGCCGTCGCAAAGTATGGACGCAGCCTAAAGAGCTCCTCATAAGATGTGACTAAGTGGAAGTAGGAATATTCAACAGAACGTTGTTTTTTTAGCCTTCTTTATGTTGCCACCAAAAAGAAAAAGATTCTCTTATTTCTAATCATTTCCTAACCACACTATGTACAATCTCGTTCGCTGCGGACGCTGAGGCGTTTTGGAGAGCTGGGCTTGGCGCGGCGCCAGCTTGTTCTCCACCAGTTCTTGAGGTTGGTGGAGTATAGGCTGTCCGAACCCATCCCTCCTGCCACGCCCGTCACCTGTACATCATTTTGCAGCCATGAATCGAGCTATTCGTGTAATAAAGGATTATGCACGGCCATACGTTTTCGGAATGATTCATGTACCAGCATTGCCAGGGTAATTGTTTATTTCTCGCTGGATGGCAGTTCGTCTAGATTTTGTACGCATTTTTTCTAGAACTCCAATGAACAAGCTGTCCCTGCCTGAGATTCTCGAAGTCGTCAAGAAAGAAGCTCTAATTTACGCGTCCGCTCAAGTGGTAAGCGCGGGGTCGTAATTTTGCTGATGAGATGGGGTTCGTAAAGCGTTTCGACAAAATTTTCCGTCTGTGAGATTATTACCGTTTTATTGTACACCATCTTGTTGGCAGCTGCCTCGAAACTACTGTGTGCTCCCTACCCTACCATATATAGAGTGTGGGATGAATAGGGCATGGACCAAGATATACGGAACACACGTGAACCAAGCTATGTCCCGCCCACTATGGGCGGGGCGTGCCTTTAGCCAGGAGCCTGTTACTTCGAAAGTTCCTAATTTGGGTCCAAAAGAGCCTGGAGAGCGGAAAATGTGAGAAACGACAGGCAATCAGTTGGTTGACGAACGAGGAAGACAAACTCCACATTGGTCGGAGCGTGCTATGGGGGGGGGGGGGGGCGGTGTTTGCTACAAAACATTCAAAAGTACATAATTCAGTTCCAAAAGAGCCCGGAGAGTGGAAAATGTGGCAAACGATAATCAATCAGTTGGCGAACGAAATGAGGATGCACACCCATATTGGGCGGGGAGCGAAATATAGATGGGCGGTGCTTGCTACAAAACTTTCAAAAATTCGTAAATCGGTTCCAAAAGAGCCCGGAGAATGGAAAATGTCTGAAACGATAAGCAATCAGTTGGCAGACGAAATGGGATAGACACGCCCATATTGGGGCAATAGAAACGTTGCAGAGTGGGTCGCACATATGAGCAGGAAGTTTAAAGAGGTCGTATTTATTCAATTTTTATACATCGAGGTGCTGCATTGATTGCAAGTCGTAAAAGAGTAATGCTAGTTAACATCGGTCAAGGTGCTTCTTGATTCAGGACGGAATTATAGTGGAGAACATGCACGATATACCGTACGTGAAACCTCCGATTGGCCCAGAAATCGTATCATCCATGACATTGGCGTGCCAAGGTAAGTAAACCAGTTAGAGAGCTTCGTCATTATACTCAGGGCTTACCAAGTCTAAAGAATTTTTAAGCGGTTTCTGTGGCTCTCAGTCAACAGAGAGAAAGGATGCTGCTTGGTGTGCAGATCTTGGCAGCTGGGAACAAGGAGGCTCTCGCTGTGGCCCACTGTGCAGGTGTGAGGTTGTATTTTCAAGCAGTCCTCTTTGAGCTCTTTGTAGAGCTTCGGTTACCGGTTATTCTTCATTTGGCTCAAAAATTGCTCAGTCAGGATTCGATCTGATCCGTGCGGAATGTTTCGTATTCTCCCATGTGGCTGATGAGGGCTGGATGGACGGCTGCGCTGGTGAGTTGCTCCGATATAGACGTTCAATAGGAGCCGACTCCGTTGCCATCGTAACCGATGTGAAGAAGAAACACTCGTAGGTCACACTCTAACTAGGATTTCTTCTGTTTTACCTGCGTTTCGGTTCCAGATCCCATGCCGTGACATCCGACCTCTCCGTTGGTGATGTTGCCGAAGCGGCAGAGTTCTTCCTCGCAGATGGTGTAGTCGTGACAGGACGCTGCACAGGAGAAGCAGCTGATGTTTCCGATTTCGAAGGTAAAAAAAGTATTTCTTGATCGTGGCGCTGCCGTCAGGGCACATCGTTGTTGGGAAATCCCCAATAGGGGGTCGTATTTGGCCGCCAGGAGAGGGGGGTCGTATTTGGGTTGGGAAAAATTTATTTTGATAGTTGATTTTTCTCGCTTCATGGACGTTGTAAAGGGGGGGGGTCGTATTTGGTCATTTTGGGAGGGGGGGGGTCGTACAGACTCGACTAAAATCCCCAACCAATGATTTGCCCTGGCTCATTGTCCGCAAACGGGAGACACTTTTTCAAACGAGGATGCTTTGGCGTAGTACTGCAAATGGACTTGTTTGTGAGCCGGCTTTGTGAATCTCCCTCGAGAATAGCGGAAGTCGAGTAAGTGGATTTATCCTTCCACACAAACCCGGCACCAACCTAGATCAGCAAGGGGGGTGGAAGGGGGAGGGGCAGGAGTTACCGTTGCGTTCGCCGCGCTGGGAAGTGGATCACCGCGCGCGGCGATCACATCCATTAACATGTTTGAACATGTTTACCTGTTTGGACATGTTCTTGGCAGATGGAAGATGAGGAAAGAAAGAACGCTCCAAGCAAACTGCGATAGGGTCATATTGATCGGAAGTTGGCAAAATGCCAGGTCAGGACTCACCGCCGCGCCACGCGAACAGGTCGCCGCGCGCGGTGACCTAGTTTCGAGCGCGGCGGTGAGTCCTGTCACGCACCCGATGGAAGGCGCGGTTGGGGCCGGATGGGAGCCGATTTCTGGTGCGATCCTGATAACGAGCGCGGTAAGCAGCGCAGCTTACAAATACATTCAAGAGAAATTGGCACTATAAATCTCTAAGACGTGTAGGATTGATACACCTAGCAAGACAGAATTCGCCCTCCTCCTGAGCAGGCGCTGCGTGGCGCCTTTTCCAAGGAAGGTACCCTTATAGCGCCCTATCAAGCTGCAACATACCGACCCGACGCCCACCGCGCCCGCCCGCCCACAAATGTCCGACCGATCCTGATGCTCGTATCGCTTCATTTGCGAAGTAAATATGAAGCGAAGGGATTGATATGAAGCGGCTGCGGTGCTGTGTGGATACACGAGTACATACATGCAGCCGTATCTACCGTAGCGGTTACTTGGCACGATGCCAACGGGAAACTCGTCCGAAATTGCTCTCTGAGTCGTGTAGAACAAAGGCTTTTTTGCAGGTTTTTGACCGTTTCACTTCGTTTTTCGCCATTTTCTCACCTTATAGCACCCCTGCTACCATTTTAGAACGAGTACCAAATTATCGTGTCTTATGCCTTTAATATAGTGCAACTGTTGAGTCATTATCGTTGTAAGTTGGATTTTTAGCCGTTCGAAAACACTGCTCGTTGCCAATATTTATTGGATCAGGCGTCACCGCCTCTAATGTTCACCAGTTTCGGAGTGCTGACGCTCTGATTGTTGGATCGGACTTTAAAAAGGACGGAAAGTGGATGAACGAACTGGACGCGGACAGAGTGAAACATTTTATGAATAGAATAAACTCACTAGGATAGCACGTAGAGCAAATAAATATTCAGTAATGACTTAGTATTGTGAACACGTTATACGGAGCTTGATCAGCAGAACTTCACGCACACTTTACGTGGATCGATTCGCTCTTTTACATATTTAATCATCTCGGGTAGCTCGCTCTTGACGATGTCTTCGCATAAGCGCTCCTTTGACTCGTCAGACTTGAAGATTCGACGGCAGACTTTGTCAAGCACTTGTTCCACGCTTGGCTGGAACAAAAAATTTAGATTTACTAATAATCCCAAAAGATGGTTGAGACGTCTTCTAGGCGCACATTTTGCGCTGGTAGTGCAGGCGGAGTCGCCTGGAAGAGTACGCTCTTCTCACAGATAAACCCTCACCTCGAGGTGAGAGAGAATGAGGGGACCAGTGAGGCAGGCATAGGTGTGAAGGTAACTCCGCCCATACGATCGGCGCGGAATGCAGCCTTTCTCATGAGGTACATGCCGTTGATAGTTCTGAGTGCGCAATCCGTGGTGTAGCTTATGTATGCCGTGGCATGACTTAAATTTACCACTACGTTTGGTATTCGATAATCATAGGTAATTTATGAGGCATAGAGTGCCTGGATAAGCTCCATGGAGCTCTTTCCCGCCCCCCCCCCTTACCTTGATTCTCAGGTCATACCCGCTGACGAAGTCATTCACACTGCTCATAGCAGTTGCAGGAGTTTCCTGTTGCCTTCCCACTTTTCTTTCTAGCCAGTATGGAAAAATCATCTAATGCTGCAATCATTGTGGTCCCGTTAGACTGGTCTCCTGAAAAAAATCAGAACTCACGACGTGGTCCAGAATCATTATTCTTGTAAACTGAACGACATCCTTACAGACCGAGCACGCACATCCCAAACGGTTGCCGACCTGAACATAATTACCATCGATATAAGGCTTCAATAAACTCTCTAGGCTTCACTTCAATAAACGAGCAGTCTAGTTTAAACCACCTTATTTGGTAAATGAATTGTCACTTCACCCACCTTTACAGTCGTTTTCTTTCGACACCGAGACGGATCAGGGGGATGGGTTTGGCGTGGTCTCAGCCCGCTCTACCAATTGCTGAAGCGGGTAGGCGAAAACAATTGGCGGAAAACGGGTTGGCGCAGCATTGAGTCCGCTCCTTCCCCCCCCCCCCCCCCCCCCTTCCTTCCCCTGACCCAACCCAGCGTCTACAGCAAAAACGACTATACTTTGCTGCAACACATTTTGTTATTAACTTCCTCTCGGTTAATGCGGAATCGCGATACCCCTATTGTTTCATTAATCACCAACAGAAACTTTTTTCATAGAGCCCAAAGATATTGTAGTGTAACAGTGAAGAGTCAAGGATGTCACACGTAAAAGTGCTGAACCTGAACCAACGAGGGGTAGATATTACTCTACTGCATCCAAGAAACAGGAGTGATAGCGAGAAGTGGCCTCACTTTGGGAACTGATTGATGACTCGACCAGTACCAGCTCTCCTTTTTTGGCTTTTTATGGACATTACACAAATTGATTAGCAGTAGGAAGCTGTCAATTCTGTAGTGGAACTCGTATCTCAGTATTGTACCAGTGTCTACCATTCAACTACGGACTTGATCGGTGAAACTGTTACCACACTCGTCAAAAGTTCACGAAATTCCTTGAAGCCCAGATAAATATAAGTAAAAAAAAAGAGCTGGTAGGAAGAGAGAAGAGAAGCTCTTGGAATAAAAACCTGTTCTTAGACTCACCAGTCTCTTTCAGACGCGCCAAGTGACTAAATAATGAGTAAATTTTATGGCTAGACCCAGGAGTATGAGAATTACATAAAGAGTATTATTCGCTGCTGTGATATTTATCACAGAATAAGCCGTGCTTTCGAATTTTGCCGAAATTGTAAACGTCTGAGTGCACGTGCGTCCTGAACCTCGATTCTACAGTACTCATTGAATTTTGGATTTTTGCCTTCTGATGCCTCATAAAACTTAATGGGAAGTGTTATCCTTTTGCAAAAAGTAAGATCACAGTCATCATTGGCAACTGCCGCTTAAACAGATCCATTTCGATAGAAGTTTTGACTACCGAGCCGGTTCTGCTGAGAAGGTAATAAAATAAAGTTGTAAAAAATGCACAGAGTAAAAGAAATCCGGAGATGGACAGACTAAAAGGCTCATTCTCACCTTCATGCAATCGTCCTTGACCATCTTTACTGGTGCAAGATTCCCTTTCTGTTTGTTCCGACTGAATTCGTTCTGACTTCTCAGTTCTGCTGCATAGACCAGTACTACTGTAAAAGGAATACTTTCGTGGAAGTGAACAAATTAATAAATCCGATTTTCTTATAAAACTCACAGCATGAGACGAGCAGCGCGACCGTTCGGGACATCGTTCAGGGAGAGAACTGGATTTGCGCCTGTACATTTCCACGGAACTATGCTGACCCACATCGACGCTAGGGAAAGCGGTCACTGATCATTCAACAATGCATGTTCATCATGAAAAAATAGTGAATCTACTCCGTCATTGGATGTGAACTATTTCCACGAAATGTAGTAAAAAAAGTACTGGACCAGGATTCAGAAAAAGCTTCAAAAAGGACTATCTTGAACAGTCGTCACCGCTCTTTCGCTTAATCGGGGCTCTTCGTGACAAAATGGAAGTACCAAAAATGTTTGCACACGACAACTTCTTTATTTGAACCTCTAT